ATTTAATTTTGAAGAAATTAAAATTGTTGTTTGTCACTACTCACTTTATACGCTTGTTTCTCCGCCTGCCCGTATAGTTCTGCTGAATATCCACTGTGGTATAAGGCGTTATAAGGTTGGTCCCGCCAGACTATTCTCCTTTCCTTAATGGTTTAATAAAAAAATACAGTTCCAAGAAGAAAGGTCTAAAGAAACAATGGTTCTTTCCCAGAATTTGACAAAAACTGGACTGCCCTTAAAGAAATGTCCATCATCAAACTTATCTCATCATTGTCACCTGTCTAAATATTTTAACAATTTTCTTATGAAATTTAAAATGTTCACATTTTTGGTTCACATTTCCGTTGTCCTTTACCCGTAACTCATTTTACCAAAAAAAAAAATAATAAAAAAAAAAGTAAATTGGAAAATAAATAATTTCAACAACATTTATGCAATATGAATGTCATATGGGTGTTGATGGTGGGGGTGGCGATAAGTTTACGTTCTCGGTTTGCGATTATTTTGCCTTCTTTGTGTATGTACTCAGTGTGACACTGACTGTATAAGTATGTATATGTGTGTATGTGATGACGACAATGATGATTATGTTGAAATGCTACTGATAATAATAATGGCGATGCTAATGATGGCGGTTGTGATGGTAATATAATGTAGGAGAGCGTCTGTGGGAGAGGCAATGCGAGTGTGTCTGTGTATTTAATTCCACATTAAATAAAAGAAATTGAACTTAAAGAACCGTAAAAATTACGTTTTCTTAGCTCTGTATGTTACTGTGAGTAGGTTTCTTTTTACGTTAACGTAACATATAACGCTTTTGCCTTTACTTTTGGCACGAACGTATAAATTAAACAAAACAAAATGGAAATTCAGAAATTATGTTTTATGCCTTTATTTTTCTCTCCTTTATTTATAGGCAACTTTCGTTTGTTTCTTGTAAATGTATTTCATTTGTTTTATTGTTGTTTTTCTTCTTCTTTCATTTAGTTTTGTTTTGTTATTATTTTCATTTAGCACTGGAAGATGAAATATTTACATACAATCTTATAATTAAATTTCATTTATATTTAATAATTATGTGCAATTATTGTTTTATAGTCTAGTATAGGAAACTTAAGGCTAATGATAATAATAATAATAATAAATTTACAGTTGGTTGGTTGCATCCAAATGCCAGCAATTTCCAGTTGCTGTACAACATGCCAAGAAGTACAAGTTCCATCGACGTGAACAAGTTTCCAAAGAGCATGCAAGATGGAACAAGGAAAGTGATTTTCATTTTCTCAGTGTTAGGAAACTATGTTTAACTAACACTGTCTTCCGTTATAATATTGTTAAAATGTGGATAATAAATATTAATAAGTGGAAATTTGCTATATCATAAGCCTCTTAAGACACGATGTGGAGAGGCTAACTATGTTATAATTTATTTTAATCAATAGTTACACATTTTGTTTTTTAAGAAAAAAAACTTTCCTTGTGCTTAAGGGAAATTGAACTTTTTTCGAATTGGGAAACCTTTCATAAAATTAAAATTTCTGTTTGGGAATACAATTTATGAAATGTATACGGGTAAATAACAGATGACATCACTTATTGGTCCTTAAAAAAAACATCTGATGCTGTTATCTAAATGTTGGATTTACTTTTATTTAATGAATCGGTTATTTTACAAGCATCTCATAGTCTTCTGCCCATAAACTCAATTTTGAACTACTTAAGGGACGACTGTGTAGGCGGTTAAGACATTAAATATTTATTTACTCATCGGAATACAAATTTATAACTTTGGATACATTTTTATTAATTTTTTAAAACAATGCAACTATAGAAAATTTGTCATGAAAAAGCCGATGAGGATATGTCTCATGAACAGGATCTGCATTCTATAAACACCATTTCTATTATATTGATTTCTGTTACGTATGGTAGAACATGCCAAGTTTATATGGGACGCTAGAAATTTCCGTGCCTTTGAAAGTATCAAGCATCTCCAGCCGAGGTTTTAACCAATCTCGGCAACAGAGCTTGTCGCATGCCAAGTCAAACTTATTTTCTGCATAAAAATGTAGTCTCAAAACGTCAACGTATTCAAAAAAGGGTTTTTTGTTGTAACAGTCGAAACCAACTTACATGGTTTTGCTATTTCGTTCAGGTTAACGACAGCATAACAACTGGAGAGAGATGAAAATGTTTATAAGTGCGGTTGTAGAATTTAGAAGATTTTCCTAAAGAATTTTAGTTTAATTTAATTCTTTGGTTCCTCTTATATTGAGCTTACGATCTCGTCATTTGGGTAAAACAATTTTTTGTCATAGGAGTAATTTTAAAATAACTTCTGGGGAGAATATTCCCGACAAAAGACAAGGGAACTGATGAATATTTTTTACTCTTTCCGAAACCTAGGTATTCCCTGCCTTACCCCCGGTGAACATTACCATCGTTCTCCACTAATAAAAAAACGTTGTTTTTTTATAAAAACAACAATAATGACATTAAACTATTTTGCAACAACAAAACACTAAGGTATCCCGAACAAACATGCCAACATTGTTCCATAGAAGAATATAGGTAGACGCATCGACACAGCTGCTGGGACAATGAACTGTCAAACCAATTTTGAAATTGAAAATATTGAATGAACAATTTTTTAAATTTGTAAAAATTGTTGAAAAACCCGTGTTATAATAACCTCCGAAGGACGTCGTATAGGAAAACATATAAAAATCTACTTATATTTGAAAAGACATTCAAAATTGTTTGACATAACAATGTTCCTAAGTGTTGACGCATCTACCTATATTTTTCTACCATGCATTGTTCTATAAAAATTAAATTTAAATGTAGTTGAATATGTTTAAACCTTTTGATTGCAGACTATTAAAAAAAACATTTTTTTGTTAGCGACCGTTTCATAATTAATCTTTTAACTTATCGATAAATTTTGCCAACTACCGAAAATGTGGCAAAGCGGTTGCAGGTCGAACAATAGTTAAGCCTTTTTCTGACTTAAAATTAAAAGGTGAAGTACAATTGCAATTTGAACTGAACAATTTTACACTACATCCAGATTTCTACCACATTGAATATTTTTAGCGCTTCCGGAAATGTCCTGAACTAAAAGGTCTACCTCGTTTCCTTATATAATTCACGTTTGCACTGAACCTAAGTTCAATAGGACTATAATGATGGGAGAAGTCTTGACCAAATCACAGGATTCCTTTTTCCTTGTATGATATGTAGGAGAGGTAAAAACATGGTCATCTTTGTACCGAATCTGACCAAGCAAAATCATAAATAGCATGCCGCCATTGTTCATTTTCTCTCCCCAACTAAAAAAAAATATTTCGATGTGCAAAAAATGGACTAAAGTAGAGATTCCATTGTTTGCTTTACATGCGATTTTGGATTGTACTGCATTTTTGATCATTTAACTCGATATATCTGTCATGTTCCGAACTCAAGGGCTGGATCTACTTAATCAAATAATCGCTGAATCATAAAATATAGAAAATATCATCATAACATTTTTCACAGTATGTAAGAGAATTATGACTTTGAATAAATATTCGAAATGCGTACCTTTTGTTCTTTTTTTAATTCTACCTAAATTTTCATTTTAATTCAATTATTATAACCTAGAAGTTCAAAATATTTACAGCCCTAAATTTGAACAAGGATCACCAATGAAAAAACTTGAATCAATAACTTCCATGTTAATCGACAATGTTGATACATTGGGGACACTTTCACGCTCTTGTTATTGTTGGCTAAGTAAAAACAATTTTGTGACATTTATGTAGACTTTTACCCCAATAGGGGGGAATATTTCCGTCAACATGTGTTAACATTTCGTAATAATTGTTTTGGCATTGAAACAAGATTACCACATCAAATAATGTCATCATTGGAAATTAATTAGCCATATTTAATAATTAATTGTAAATTTGTTTGTGGTCTTGCGCAGGACCTCACATTAAAGGCAGGAACGTAAAAGCAACGATTCACATGCGATGGATTTAGGTAAATGAAATGATTTGCTTTCATTAAGAGGATAAGTAATAAGCACGTAAAAATTGAAATATTCAATATTTTGCACCAATTAATAAGGATAATTGTTCAATCATTCATTATTTGTCAATGGTTTAAGGTTCAAATATCTTAAAAAGTGTCACAGTTTTGTGATTTAATCCCTCAACACTGGTTAACGTACATCAGTTGTTCTTCTAGTTTAATAAAAAAAGAAAAAAATGGTGACTTCTTTCCGCTGCAAAATATATTATATTTTTTTTACAAAATATAACTATAAAAGACAGAATTTACACAATATTATTTTTGAAAGGCATTTGGTAAAATTACTACAAGGTTGGCTATATCTACTGAAAATGAAAATTGTGTTTTAGGGCACTCAGAAGAACGACGGAATATAATTTTGTGATTGAATTGCAGTACGAAAAGTAAATAAATAATAAACAACACGTAAACAAGTGCGATTTTCTAATATTAGTATGATTTTCTTAAATTATCTATCATTTCCAACAAAAACGGTAAAATTCAAACTCAAATGTTCCTTTTCTAACGTTAGCTCCCAGAGAATACTTTATTTCCATTCTTAACGTAACAATAAATTTCGACAGCTACCAAAAAAGTGGCAAAGTGGTTGCAGAATTGCCTTTTGAACAATAGTTAAGACTTATTTTGGGATAAAATTAATAGTTTAAATTCAAATGTCATTTGAATTCTAAATAACATAATATAACAGAAACTAAGTTGTCAGCTAACCGGACAGATATATCCTGACCCCATATAAGTTAGGACAAAAAGTCTACTTTGGACAATAAACTTAACATCTCAAAGCTATTGCGATTTGAGTTTTTTTAAATTTTAAATCACAATAATTCTTTTTGTTAGCAAATTTGATGGTCCGTAAGGTTCGATCTTATATAGGCCTTGATATAGACATTGGTTGTCATATATGTCTCAAAATAATAATGCCTCAAAATAATAATAAAAATAATAATTTTGGTTGGCTTTAAAAACTAATATGTTTCCAACTTTTTGATATTGTATAGAACTCCACACTACGTTAAGATTTCTACTACATTGATACTTCTTAGCGCGATTGGTAGACTATCGCAGTTAAGGACTTCAATGTAAACGTTGCCTTACATTTAAATCAAATCAGCTGGATTTGCTGCAACCTTGTAATACATATTGCAATCTTTCAATAAGATTGACCATTTGTCCTTTGACCAAACTTGCCCGGTGTTGTGAATACTATTTTTTTAATCATAACTTTAAAATATTCCAAATTTGTATCCCACTATTCCTTGTTCCATCTACTTAAAATTGGTGCTGGAAGAATTGTTGATTGATATGTAACAATGATTAGAATTATCCACTTGAACTCACATTGTCTGGAATTGCTGGTATTTGGAATGGAATTTATTTTACCCCCCAAAGAGGGCCTTGGAAACATCTTCACTTTCCACAGTTGTTTTTTTTTTACACAAACTAATTTATTTTCATATTTATATATTTATTTTTTTGTTTAACTTTCATTCAAAAATTAATTTAATTATTCCTTTACAAAATTATTATCTATTTACGCATACACTATCACATTCCTGTTAATACGCAATACCTTGCATATCTTTACACATTTTTTTTTTGTTTTTGGGAGGAGAGGAGGGGTTTATTGTTTCCTCATAATTTGTTTTTGTTGTTGTTTTTTGTTTTGTTTTTGGTGTCCCACATATATCAGTATCAGTCCACACATTCTGACTTATGCCTAAAGAATTTTACAATTATTGCTTAGACCAAAAACAAGTAGTGGCACAGGGTGGCCGGGGGTAGATGCAACTAAAATTCAGTCAGGCGCATTTGAGATGCTGCCACAGCAGCATTCTACTTTCAAGTTGAAGAACAAAGCTTGGTTTGAGAGATGCAAAGAGTTGGGTGCGCTTACACATCTGTTCCACAGCCCTCCTGATATCCTTCGTCAGGCGAATTTCGACTTGTGGTGCTGATCAGGGCCCGTTTTATTGCTGTGACCGGAGGAAGAACAGGAACACCGCCCTTCTGCCAGACACGTATCGTTTTGGCATTGACCGCTGTGTTGTTGTGATTTGTTGTTATGTTGTTGTGTATGGGAGACGTTCGGGACGTTGTGCTGTCGAGGCTCGTGTTGTGAGGCCTCTGACGTGGCAGTGTCCGGCTGGTAAATGGTGGACTACTTGTGCTTGTGGTGCTGGTGTAACTACTTGAGGTTAGGGTGGCTCGACACAGGGGGTTACTGGCACCTGGCCGGCCCAAGGTTCCGCCCATGAGCTGTTTCTGTAGTGGATTCATTTGCAGGTGATGCTGCAGCTGCAGTTCGGCCCCAGGCACAACCGGCAGACCATAATCATTGGGATAGCCACCGATTCCCCCCATAATTCCAGAACCGGAATTGGAAAGATTCGTCGTTGTTGTTGAGGCCGTAGATTCAGTGTTCATCTGGCAACTGCCATCATTCGAGGGGAAGGTGTGATTGAACGAGGTGCGCGGAAAAGTTTTACTAAAGTTATCCGCACTGCTGCCGGTTTCGTGCAAATCATACAGCTGGGTACTATCCATGATCGGAGTTTTGTCAGAATAACGTCGCAAAAACAGATCATCCGCCGAAGATGAGGTGCAGGCTCCCGCGCTTATGTCTTCCCACAGACCAGAGGGATACAGGGAGTCACAGCCTCCAGCCCGTTTGTACTCGCCATTTGTACTGAGACCGGCTAGTTCCGAGTTCAGGGCTTTCGTCAAAATTGGTGGAATCTTCAAATCGGTAAACTCGTCACCCTCGAAACGTTTGGTGTCGTTGATGAGGTCAGGATTATTGCCTGCGGATGCTGTGGGCGAAATAAAACATGGTGCAGTCGACAAGACGCTGCCATTCGTGGCATAACTCATGTCCGTGAGTCGCGGAGGCTTTTGCAAGGGGTTGGCGCTCTGAGTTGAGGCTGAGTCCTTTTCACTGAGATCCATTTCATCAGCTATGATTTTCGCATCGCCATTATTGCCATTTCCCGAACCCATGGTACCATTCAGGCCGTTCGCCTGAGTTTTGTTTCCGATCATATTCTGCTGGTTGATGCTGGTAATCACCTCCATGTTGTTGGGCGTTTTCGAGACATTATAGGGTTCCCGCTTAAGGCGCATCATGAGGAACATAACAAACAGGAGGACAAAGATTATCAATATGACCAGGGCAGCACTGAGACCCACAATCTGGCCACTGCCCAAAGAGGCCATTCCAGCAGCTCGCATACGCACATGTAACGTGAAGTTAGCCTCTGAGGAGCCGGCACGATTTTCGGCCACACAGTAGAATTCACTCGAGTCGATTTCTTGGGCATTGGTCATAACCAGGCGAGATGTCTTCTCAAATCCCCCATGCTCCAAAATGTGGAGTCTTTGATGGGAACTGAAGGCTGTGTTATTCGTTAAGAGACGTCCATTCCAGTACCAGTTGACCACCGGAGCAGGTATGGCCTTGGCTCGACATAGAATGGATGCATTCTCTCCCATGGTCGCTTCAACATAATGAGATGAGGGTAAAATTTCCGGTTTGCAGGCAAAGTCGTCAATACTCAGATCGGCGAACGATTGATCCAACACACGTTCCGGTCCTCCACCACAAACCGGCGCCACCGGGTAGGGTATGTTCTTTTGCATCAGCCATAGCTTCGCATCGCGCAAACGACAATCGCACATCCAGGGATTGTCGTGTAATTCGATGCCATGCAAGCGACTCAAGGTCTCTATGGTCTTTGGCACCAATTCGCTCAGCTTGTTGCCGTTCAAACGCAGCAGTGTAAGGCCCTCCAGCCCCTCAAACGCCTGGGGCGCTATCGTCTGAATGTCGCAGTGGGACAGATCCAATTTATGCAGAGCCGGGGTATCCACAAAGGCATTCGGTTCTATCTTCTGTATCCGATTGGAAGCTATGGTCAGGTCTCTCAGCGATGAAATGTAACTGAGTGCCATTGATGGAACGCTGAAGAGGAGATTTTGAGACAGATCCAATTCGACAAGATTGGTGAGGCCCTTAAAGGTCTGTGGTTCAATGTGTTCGATGCGACAGTTACGCAGATACAGCTTTTGCAGATTCAACAGATTCATGCGCACAAACTGTTCATTGAGCATAGTCTGGAGCCGGTTGCCTGACATATCCAGAACTTGGGTGGACGGGTCGATATTGTTGGGTATTTGCTTCAGCTCGCGATCGATGCACTCGACGGTCTGTTTGCCGCCCTTCCATTTGCAGGCGCACACCGTTTGACAGGTGCTCATCTGTTGATGGTTGACGATGACAGTGTTGTCGGGCAAATGGGGCTGGGGAAACGGATCGACATATTCCTCAGATATGGTGGGACTATCCAAAAAAGAGTAGCTGCTGCTGCTGACAGCCATGTTATCTAAAGGAAGTTGTTGTTGCTGCTGTTGGTGTTTACGGGCACCTATGTGGCGGGAACTTGAGCCGTAGTGGTGATGCTGCTGCTGCTGTTGATGGTGATGTGCCCTATCGGTGGGATAGGATGACGCGGAAGCCGAAGAAGAAGAATAGGAAGAACCGACAGCTGATGACGAAGCCAAGGCTTTCGTAAAATGATACGATGTACCGGAACCGGCATAATGTTTTATTTTTTGAGCACGTCCATAGTGTGACGTTAATGAGGACGACGACGACGACGATGATGACGGCGATGAATGGGAGGAAACCCCAAACACCAGGGTTGTTATATGCAGGACCAGCAAATGGATTAGAAATGTCATCTTCCAAAGTTTTGTCATGTTTGTACGTCGCCTTAATGACTATTGACATCAAACGAACCAACGAACGAAAAGGGTTCGTTAGCAAGCACTGGTATCCTGTTATCCTTGCTTTGCGGGGGCTGAGAAGCAACCCGTGTTTCCGTTTCCTTAATTTTTGTTACACAACAAGAGTCGTTTTTGTTTATTTGGAATTGTTTCCTTTTTAATGGATTCTAAAGCACATCTTCTTCTTCGTGGGACAACATTTCGAAGAAGTTATATAATTTATTGTTGTTGTTGTTGGCGTTATTGTGACTTTACGGTTTTTGTTTTTGCGGTACACATTTTGTCATGGGTTAAACTACACTTAATTTGTGAATATTTTCTTAATTACTTTACAACTTTGAGCATATTTTTGTGATATCCTTTTTTAGGTTAGGTTGCGCTAACAACTTTTTGTTGTGGGTTTGTTTTGCATTTCCGTCACTTTTCCTCTGAGGATTTGTTTTGAAATTAAATTTTCTCCATTAATCATATTTTTGTTGTAGTTGTTTATTTTTCACTTCTTTGCTTTTCACATCATTCTTTGCTGTTACTGTTGCAATGATATTTTCAGAATTTAATTGGCCTAGTAACGGTAATTAAATATTGGCAACAAAACTTCTTCTCCTGCCCTTCTAATTGGGTAGATGCATCTCACAATCTCACATGGACCCGTACACTGACACACACCAATGCAGGGCATCGGACACATGCACACCGTCGTACTTCAACACCGCACAACCGTTTTTCATGCTTCTCTTCTTCTTGTTCCGGGTTTACGCAATTTTTCGTTTAATTTATGCCAAATCCGTTTTAGAATTTTTCAAGCGTATCCGTTTTCCTTCTTTTTTTTTTGGTTTGCTATTTCGTTTTGCACTTTAATTTATTCTCTTTTTTGTTTTCCTGTTAACTGGTATTTTTGCACGTTATACGCGTTTTCTCCGATATGTTTTTTTTTCTGTTTTTTTGAAAAGTGAATGATGATGACGCTTATGATGATATGCTTGATTGCTTTTTTGTTCTTAATGTTGTTGTTTTTGTTGTTGTTTATTCTTGTTATTCTCTTTTGTATGTTTTACATGTAAGCTTCTTCTTGCTCTTCTTCATGCACATCTATATGTATGATATTTTGTGAGATATGTATTTAAACTATGATTTTTTAGGAAACGCTCAGTAACGACGGCTTTAAACACCCAACCATCGGCAACGGCTAATCGAAACGAACTGAATTATCATCGTCCAACTGAAGGCAACGTCTGTGTGCCTCGTTTCGCATCTTCATTTTCGACCAGTCATGCGTGCAACACAACGTGAACCACAAACGCCAAGTGAAGAGAGAGCGATGAGTGATACTTCTTTACTTTCCAATTGGAAAATTGAGGCGAAGTAACGAAGCCCAGCAACATTCGACCAGAAATGTTGAGAAACAAAGTGGCATTTCGAATTCAACCCAAAACCTTGGAAGTAACAATGTTGCGTTGATGTCCAATGTTAAAACTCGTCTAAAAATGTTTTTATTATCATTAGCGTAGAATTACAAATTCAGAATTAATTTATTAGCGTTTAAGATGTGACTTCAAATATTTGACATTGTGAGTTCCATATCTACCATACCTACTAAAACCAAAATCGACAAATATGGAAAAATTGGCAACAGTTGAAAGTTGCAGTGCTAAGACCTTCGTTACGTTTAAGTGACTTATTTTTATAACCTCCACTTTGAAAAGGAGGGTATATTAAGTATGTCATTCCGTATTCGTCATAGACCCCGGAAAGGCGATGTCCGTCTGTATGTTGAAATCATGATAAAGCCCACATTATTTGACAATGGCTAAACATTGTATATATAGGTCCACGTTTTTCTATAACGCTGAAAAACCACAAGTGGCTATCGTTATTGCACTCCAGCTTTTAAATATGAATAAATTTTTTGTGTCTCGTACCACCGATCGTTACCGTGACACTGGTAGCATAGCCCGACGACAACGAAGTGGACGGAAAAGAACAGCAACATCAGCAGAAATGGTTTGAAAAGTAAGGAAGCTACTTGATCGAATGCCGCCATAACAGCCGATGGTAGCTCTCCGCTCGTATTAATCGACCGTGAAATCAGAATTAATGCCTAATATTATCGCGAAAATATTCTGGAGGCTATACTAAAGCCTTGGGCACGCAAACATTTTGTGCCGTAGACCTTGGACATTCCAACAGGTCTCAGCACCATCGCACTCAGCACGCACCTAAAAACAGTTACAAAATAGCGCAGAGCAACATTCGGGCAGCGTGTGACGGTTTCATAATTCGTGCCAAAGGTAACCAATTCGAACAAATCTAAACTTATTCTAAAATTTGTTGCTATTTGCGACATTTTTGCTTTCATTCAATAAAATTTTAAAAAATGTAAAAATTATGGCGTTTGACTTTGTTGCAGTTTTTTTTCTCACCCTGTATATATCCTCGGTAGCAATAGGGCTAAAAGACTTAAAACTTGCAAGTATTTTGTTCGTTTATATAAATTTTTCATTTTTGGTATTTATGGAAAATATTTATTTATTTGAATTAGAGCATTTCAAAAATTATTTAAAAGGTAAATATTTATCTTCATAAGTACGGCATGATTATTAAATTACGAAAAATATAATGAAAAAGATAATATGTTTCACAACTCCGTTAACATCTTGGAGGCCAAATTGTTATATGGCCCAAAGATAAAGATCTTTTAAAAGATTTTAGAAAATATCCGTAAATTTCGATATTATTTGTTGTATATTTTATCTTAATTTGAAAGGAATTCAACATGAATTCCAGGTTTTTGCTTGTATTCCGTGAAGTTTTACGCCACTGACACTTATGACACTTATTTTTCCTACATTTGCCTAAAGGCTTTACTAGTTTGAAGTTTGGGTCATATTTTGTTCAATACATATTATAAAAGAAGTTTAAATACATTTTCATAGTACATATTATTAATTGAAGTCCGCGGCGATAATCTCACTGTCATTACCCCATATACAGATACAAACATACATACATTCTACATATATCTGTATTTTCTATCTATCCATCCACCCAACCCGAAATGCACTGATTCGTAACATCTTAAGATAGCTACGCTTTCTTGATGTTGTGCCACATCATGTCACTTTTGAACAACAACACTCCTTTCCATGGAGTGCGATTGTCGTAGGTTAGTTGTGCTGTGTTGCATGCTTACGACACTAATTTTTTGGTAAATGATTTTTTTCCTTTGGGTGAAGAAACTTTGATTGCAATTTACGTTGAAGGGAAAAGACAATCACGTTATGCTAGGCTGGCGTTACACCCCAAAACGAAGGTTTGTTGTATTCAGGGTCAGTGATACCGTTGTATTACTTCAATAATAAGGGCTAATAAAGCAAAAATTGGAAAACTACTCATATGTATGTACGTATATGCGTTCAATTCTTTAAAATGTACGATACATACTTGCTCTGTTCCAGTACCTGCAATAATCTACTTGTTTGGCAATTTTCTTCAATATCATAAAGGGAAAATCGGTTATCGTAGTAAAAACTTTTACATTCTTGCAGTTCTGGAACAGACCAATTATTGGTCCCTTGCTTACGCTACACAGACTTAATTAAAAAAAAAAAAACATTTAAAAAAAAGCTGTAAGTTCGGCCGGCCCGAACCAACATTCCAACATTTGGAACGAATTTGGCAATTTTCAAAAAAACAATAAAATCCGTTAAACATTCTGTTAAAATATGTTAAACTACCGAATGTAGCTGTTATATTAGGGTATATACGACGAAATTGACCTGCATAGGTAACTTTTGTCATAAGCCATTGCAATATTCAAATTCGAAACTTAAAAAAAAAATCGGTGAGTAATGTAACTAAAATAATCAAAAATCGAATATAGGGAGGTACCGTTATATGGGGTCTTTACGAAGACGTGGACCTGCACAGACAATCTCCTATCATAGGTTGTAGCATCCATTACGAACCTCAAATACCAAATTTGAAACATTTCCGGTGAATAATGTCGCTTAAATCACCAAAATACCGAGGTACCGTTATATGGGGCTATACCAAAACGTGGACCTACATGGCCCATTCTCAATACCAAAAGTCGTGCAGACATAATATACATTTGAGTAAAATTTTATCAATCTACTTCATTTCGTTCGGAAACTATAGTGATTTCAACAGACGGAAGGACATCGCTAAATCGACACAGATTTTTATGTTGATCAAGAATATATAGCATTTTCAGATTAAATGAAACCTTTTGCAATTCAAATGAATCTTTTTGCAGCGGGAATGAAACCTTTTGCAGTGGAATTGAAACCTTTTGCAGTGGAAATGAAACCTTTTGCAGCGGGAATGAAACCTTTTGCAACCGAAATGAAACCCTTTGCAACCGAAATGAAACCATTTGCAACCGAAATGAAACTTTTTGTAAATCAAATTAAACTTTTAAATTTATATATGGAAAAATAACAAAACATTTATATTTTTAGTAGTTTTTAAATTAAATCAATTAATTATAACTAATATATTGACAAAGAGGATTTTTTATTGATTATTAATAACTATGTTTTTATAAATTTTTTTCTTAAGCTTCCATAAAACACAAGTGTAGATGCAGAAAGATTGAAAAAAGATTTTCAAGGTATTTTTTTCAAAGGACCCGAATTAGGTACCTTTTTATAATCTCCTCCATGGAAAGGAGAATATATTAAATTTGTCATTCGGTTTGTAACACCTCTAAATATTCGTCGTAGACCCCATAAAGTATATACAATTATGATCATAGTTGATTTAATGATTTCCACTTATCTGTCTATTGAAATCACGACTGCTTTATCTCCATAATCAATAAAGCTGCGAAGCGGGAATCCCTTATTAGGTAAGATTAATAGTATACTATAACTATAAAAAATTGTGGTAAAGCTTAATTTCACATTTCAGTCCTGGCCATTCCTATAAAGGCCAAACTTTGCTTAAATTTCTCTTTTTAGCGTTAAGCATTTGGAATTTAATAATATGGAAGCATTTTATATCAAATCAGTAAAGAACCATTTTTTATTACAATAATTGAAAATTTAAGAAATAATATAAATAAATGTAGATATTTATAATCAATAAAAAATCCTCTTTGTCAATATATTAGTTATAATTAATTGATTTAATTTAAAAACTACTAAAAATATAAATGTTTTGTTATTTTTCCTTCTATAAATTTAAAAGTTTCATTTGATTTGCAAAAAGTTTCATTTCGGTTGCAATTGGTTTCATTTCGGTTGCAAAAGGTTTCATTTCGGTTGCAAAAGGTTTCATTCCCACTGCAAAAGGTTTCATTTCCACTGCAAAAGGTTTCAATTCCACTGCAAAAGGTTTCATTCCCGCTGCAAAAAGATTCATTTGAATTGCAAAAGGTTTCATTTAATCTGAAAATGCTATATACACATTGTGGGGTCTAAAATGTATATTTCGAGGTGCTACAAACGGATTGACAAGCTTAATAGACCCTATACTATGGTGGAGAGTATAAGAAACATGGACATTGTTTGGGATAATACTTACACAGTTTTTTACATTTTATCGGATTTAGTGATCCCAGATGATTTTAATTGCCAATTCCATAGCATATAGGACAAATTTTTGTAATGTAGGTTTACCCAGCAATATGCTCTAGTATAAACAAAATTTAATTTTTCCATACCTAAAATCTCTGTCCATACTATACCAACAGCTGGATTGGTTTAACAACAATACCACCCTTACTTATTAGCGCATATGAACAATTTATTTTTTGTTGCTTTTAAATTAACGTTATTATATTACAATCGAAGCAACTTCAACGATTCCCAATAAAACATTATTGTCCCATTCTTTGAAGACTTTATGCAAAATAAAACTCCAAAAAACGTACTAATAGACTTCAATGTATCCATCTATTTTGTATTAATTAATTTTTCTTAATTCTATTATTTCTCTATTTACACCTTCCGTTGATAACCATAGCGATTTGAATGTAAATCGTTTGTCCTTTTCAATTAACTGCTCAAATTGACGCAGTCCTCCTCCTACTCCAAAATAGTACGTCTTAGCTGCCACATAAATCTTTCCGTCCGCTTTTAGTTTAGTATGTAGGCAATTTAGCAACTTTTGTTGATTCTCTGGATTATAAATAGTTTCGGAGGTAACAATAACATCATACAATTGATCACATATTGGAGAACTGCACCATTTTTCCCAATCACCTGAGAAATAACGAGTTTTCTCTACTAATTTATCAAAATTATATATGTCTTCCTCATTTTCATCAGATTCTTCCCTTGTATTTAAAAGCACATTTGGTATTGTAATCTTTTCAAGTACATCCTTGTTCTGAAAGAAAAAATTTGTTAAGGACTTGATAAACCGTTAAAATTTTCGCTTGTTCATACATAGTCATGAAAAGTAACATTAGATCCATTGTTGAAGGCATATATGCCGAGAAGTCCAGAACCACAGCCTAAATCCAATACATATTTATCATTCCATTCCAGGGTGGGGATATTTTCGGCAAAGTACATTAGCAGATCTTCGGTGCATTCCCATATTTTGGCTCCGCCTTCATATACCGCCGGTATGAGATCCGAATGATTCTCTTCAGCCTTTTTTAAATCTGTAACATCGTCAGCATTATTCTTGATATCTTCCAAGAGAAAGCCTGAAACCATATAACATAGCGAAACGCCCTTATAGTCTTTGCTCAAAGCGTTTAACTTGCAAACATCGATGTTTTCCAAAATTTCCTTCGACGGTTTTATTTCTTCGGATTCGTACCACTCCTTAAAGCTTTCCTTGTCGGCATACGCTGCTGGACTGCAATAAGAGTATGTGTGTTAAATCGTATATAAATATTCTATTATGTTTTTTACCTTTTTGAGTCATTGAATCCTTCTTTAATAGAAAACGGAGTATCATCAGCTTCAACTTGAAAGTCAAACTTGAACATTATGTCGGAACAACTCTAGTTTAGTAAAAACTCTTAGATTTTTTCGAAATTTTTTCCAGAGGTAGGTATTTTTACGCTGATCCCGGGAAACTATTTTTTTCTTGGGGGACGGACCCGGGACCCCAGATTTTTGACCCGAAAGTCCGGGATCAAGACCCCGCCTGGACCCGGATCCACTTACCCGATATAGACAATATGGGTATCGATTGAAAGCTTATGGAAATACCTATCCAACAAGTGGTCACATGAAGGGGTAAATTGTCATGGTTCGGAAGTTATAGTCAAATTATCGATTTTTTGGACCCGAATTTTTTATGAAACCCCCAAAAAGTCAAAAAAGGGCCCATTATGGGGGTCAACAAAATTGCTTCCAAATTATAGCTGACATTCTTACCTTTCCAAAATGCTACAATTTGTGCTAATACCTTTTTCGGTTCCAGAGATATGGGTCTTTCCATCCGCATAACCCGATTCTAACCAGTTCATTAAAATGATGTTTTTAATAAAAAAAGTGTTTATTTCGCGTAGCAGTCGTCGGAATAACAAAAGTTTTCTAAATTTGGCACTTTTTGTAAATAGCCGGCCTTCGGCCGGGGCTTGAGATTTTCTCCTCTTGGTATGTCCTACACCGGATAACGCGAACCAAAGTTTCCTAATTTGGATACCTTTTTTTAGGTAGCCGGCCTTCGGCCGGGGCTTGAGATTTTCTCCTCTGGGTATGTCCTAAACCGGCTAACGCGAACCAAAGTTTTCTAAGTTTGACACTTTTTGTATATAGCCGGCCTTCGGCCGGGGCTTGAGATTTTCTCCTCTGGGTATGTCCCACACGGGCTAACGCGAACCAAAGTTTTCTAAATTTGACACTTTTTGTAAATAGCCGGCCTTCGGCCGGGGCTTGAGATTTTCTCCTCTGGGTATGTCCCACACCGGCTAACGCGAACCAAAGTTTTCTAAATTGGATACCTTTTGTAAGTAGCCGGCCTTCGGCCGGGGCTTGAGATTTTCTCCTTTGGGTATGTCCTACACCGGCTAACGCGAACCAAAGATTTTTGAATTTCATTCTTACGCAAAATATACCTTTTTTATTGTTATGCGGATGGAAAGACCCATATCTCTGGACTCAGTAAAGGTATTAGCACAAATTGAACCTTTTTGGAAAGGTAGAAGTGTCAGCTATAATTTGGCATCAATTTTGTTGTCCCCCATAATGGACCTTTTTTTGACTTTTTGGGGGTTTTATAAAAAATCCGGGTCCAAAAAATCGATAATTTGACTATAACTTCCGAACCGTAACATCTTACCCCATCATGTGACCACTTGTTGGATAGGTATTTTCATAAGCTTTCCAAAGATACCCATATTGTCTATATCGGGTAAGTGGATCCGGGTCTAGTCGGGGTCTTGATCCCGGACTTTCGGGTCAAAAATCTGGGGTCCCGGGTCCGTCCCCCAAGAAAAAAATAGTTTCCCTGGATCATGGTTAAAATACCTACCACTGAAAAAATTTTCGAAAAAATTGAAGAGTTTTTACTAAACTAGAGTTAAGCCAGGGGGAATTATTGAAAGCAATGTGTGCCGAATGTTCCAAAGAGCTGCAAGAACAGACAAAAGTCAAGATCAAGATCATTTCAAGATCTTCCAGGGCAGAATCATTTATTGGGCATTGAAAGATTTTCATAACTCAGACAGTTATTCTATGCAGAACGTTAAATAGTAGCTTGGACAGATAAAGGCGTTTGATTGCAGGCAGACCGTGGTACATAACAGCCAAGGTTTCCTGCGGTCCAATAGGACTATGGTACATTGGGTAGCTCTGGTAGATTCGAATCTTCCTTTTGTATTCTTACTCTCTCCAGTATATTTGTAGAAACATGCACCATTCTCAACAACCACTAACTCCTTTAATCTTGAATCAATTCATAATTTGAGAAATACTACTTACGTCTACTGCCTTGACAATTTCTGGTAAGCGTACTCTAAGGAACCTTCAGTTCAATTTTCCTCGGATAAGCTCCAGAAAGACAGCGAATGCCGACACGTGCGAAAGGTTCCAGCTGATTGTGTTTTCCTCTTGTCTCATTCGTAAACAACAGAGTTAATCGGAGGTCTTCTTTTCTGTTTATATTTTATCAAATTTATGTCTTGCCTTAATGGACGTGTGAAAGAGAAAGGAATACACTTATTAAAAACGCACAGTTTTTCTCTTTCTTAAGCATCGACTCTTTGTTATTCTCATCTTTCGCATATTTTACTACTAATTCATACAACCGTGATTTACTTTTAGATGGCGTTTTTACAGGAAGAATAACCACGACATAGAGATATTCGGGAACATTGCATTTATAACTAGGAAAATTTGTTTAATTTTCATCAAATATGTCAGATCCCTATGGAGAGGTAAGTCGCTTAAATACCGTATATTGCTCTTCATGTCCTTCACATATCTGCTATTTTAAGCGTGCCAATTTACCGCCTATTGGAAATGGAGCACCACCACCGCCGCTTATGCCTTTGCCGCCTGGCATGAGGCCGCCTGCACCGACATTTTTACCAAATATCCAACAGATTCCGCCTCCTCAACCTTGGCACAATACAGGTCCTCCTGCAGAACAAAACAGCAGTCAAGTTCCGCCACCAACTCAGCAGCAGCAACAACAACAGCCCCCTCCGGTTACCAATCAAAATGAGGTGGTGAATGGAAATTCTGATTCCGGAGACGGGTCTTCGAATGGCGAGAGTTCAAATCAGGATGGCAAAGACGGTGCAAAATGTCCTGAAGTTGTACTGCCCAAGGCATTGGAGGATGTGCTAGCCTTAAAGGATCAGAGAGCAGCAGAGTTCGATGTGAATACTGAGGATTTTTCCAATGTTGATAATACTGGTCAACCTGCTGGACATTCTGGGGGCGTTATAAGCAATGATTATGCAGATGCTGGAGAAGATTCTGATGATGAAGGAGAGAATCTAGTAAATGGCAGTGCCCCGTCTAAAGCAGGCAAGTTAAGTAAAGTAGAAAAGAACAAAAAGAAAAAGCGGCGGAAGAAGCTGAACAAACAGATTAAAAGACAACAGGAGCAGGCACGCGTTGAAGAAAAATCTAGGGAGGCGGAAACAGTTGGAGATGATACTGAAGATAATCAAGAAAAACAAAAAGAGGACAGCTCCGAGAAGGAAGTAAAATCTAAGGAATCCAAGTCTAAACACGGTGACAGAAAGAAGGAGACTGAATCTAGTAGCAACGGCAAAGGCGACATCGAAGCCACCGCCGAAGATGTTACCATTGAGTAAGACCATTCAATCAATCTAATATTTAATAATGTAACACATTACCCTTCTTCCTAGGTATGTCCCTGAAAGAATTACTATCGCTGACTTAGCACCCATGTATCGCCAGTTTTATAGAGTATTTGAAATTTTCAAATTGGAAAACAAACCCAAGGTTTCAGAAAAGGAGAAAGCAGCAGCAGAGAATGCAGAAGCAAACTCCAATCAAAAGAAAGCTCTAAGTCGTGTTCCGGAAGAGGAAGAAGAGGAGGCCGATGAAGATAAGATCGAAGACAAAGAAAAGCTGTCAAAGAGAAAATTGAAAAAACTCACGCGCCTCAGTGTAGCTGAACTTAAGCAGCTGGTCTCCCGACCCGATGTGGTCGAAATGCATGACGTCACTGCCAGAGATCCCAAATTGTTGGTGCAGCTCAAGGCTTACCGCAACACGGTGCAAGTACCACGACATTGGTGTTTCAAGCGAAAATACCTTCAGGGAAAACGGGGTATTGAAAAACCACCATTCGATTTGCCGGCATTCATTAAAAAAACGGGCATTATGGAAATGCGCGAATCGCTTCAAGAGAAGGAAGATGCAAAATCATTAAAGAGCAAGATGCGCGAACGAGTGCGTCCAAAAATGGGTAAAATTGACATTGACTATCAGAAGCTGCACGATGCCTTCTTCAAGTGGCAAACTAAACCCAAAATGACCATTCATGGCGATCTTTACTACGAGGGCAAAGAATTCGAAACACGCCTCAAAGAAAAGAAACCAGGAGACTTATCTGAAGAATTGCGTATAGCTCTGGGAATGCCTGTTGGGCCGAATGCCCACAAAATTCCACCACCATGGCTAATTGCTCAGCAGCGTTATGGCCCTCCTCCTTCGTATCCCAATCTTAAGATACCTGGTTTGAATGCTCCCATTCCTGAAGGCTGTTCATTCGGCTACCATGCGGGTGGGTGGGGTAAACCACCTGTTGACGAAAATGGCAAGCCATTATATGGTGATGTCTTCGGAACAAATATTGTGGATTTGGATGTGAGTATAACCAAGGTATTTCCAAAAATTCGTTTACAGAAATAATTCAATTATTCTAGAATGGCATTGATGAGGGTGACATTGAACGCAATCAATGGGGAGAATTGGAATCAGAATCGGAAGAATCTTCAGACGAAGAAGAAGAGGACGGTGAAGATATGACAAATCAACCCGACGAAAGTGGTTTGGTAACTCCGGCTGAGGGTCTGATTACGCCATCAGGACTTACCAGTGTGCCGACAGGAATGGAAACGCCCGAAAATATTGAATTGCGTAAAAAGAAAATTGAGCAGGAAATGGAAGAGTAAGTATTTATATTTCTGCGGATTAAAAGCACATTTACTTAAAAATATATTCGTTTTTATGCAGCAATGAGACACCAGTTTTGTATCATGTTTTGCCTGAAAAACGTACTGACCGCATTGGCGCATCGATGATGGGTTCGACACATGTGTACGATGTCGGTGGGGTAAAACAGGCCGCAGCGAGAGCTACTGTTGCATCGGGTAGAGAAGGAACCGTTGAATTGGCCTTGGATCCCTCGGAGTTGGATATGGATAATGACGCAATGGCCCAACGCTACGAACAGCAAATGCGTGAACAACAAAATCATTTACAGAAAGAAGATTTGTCAGATATGTTGGCTGAACATGTTGCTCAGCAGAAATTCAAACGCAAACGTCAACAAGCCGACCCAGCCAAGACAACCAAGAAGTATAAAGAATTCAAGTTTTAAATCCATACGAAGGTACATTAGTTATTCGGTTCAATTAGTCTTAAATATTAATAAAGAGAATGTGGAAATATATTCTATCCATTCCCAAACAATGGATATACAAAAATGAAACGGATAATGCATCCCAATAACCTTATAAGCGATGCAACTGTGGAACACAGTCATTGTTTCCAAATAAAGATCAATGTCCCCAACAACTAAAAAAATAGAACACCAATAACTAATTAATGTACTTAGTTTTTTGATTATATTTAGATTTATTTAAAGGTTTATGAATACTTAGTTCATAACGCTGTGACTCAATACCGATGTCATATGCTTAAAAAAGTTTAATTCTTGATTTTATAAAAAATAATCTAAAATAATCATGTCCAAACTTACCGCATTTAATATTCGGTAAAAAGAACCATAAATTACGTGATTACAGTACGAAACTAGAAATGTTTGGAAAGCAAACTAATATTCAATGTTCGAAAATGATATTGATGTGAAACATACATCTGATGCGGCATTGTTCTGTATCCTCATTATAGCGTACCTATTTAAATATTTACTAGACGATCAATCCTAATCATTCTTCCATTTGTTCGTTCAATTGGGCTAACAGAGCGGCACGTTTCGACTCCAACTCTGTTTCACTAAGCGCCTGTTCGTCATTTCGCGAACTATGAGACCGGTTGCTGGCAGCGGGACTAAGAGGTGTAACCGACCGTTGTTTGTCGTGGTGATGTTTGCGTTCCTTGTCTTTTTTATTCTTTTTTTCTTTCTTCTTTTTCTTGGGCTGCGATGCCAAGAGTTCTTCAATGGCCAATGTGGTCGGAGAACCGTTTATGGAGTTAGCGCGTTCTGATTCACATGATGACTGTAATGAAAATTAATTGAAAAACAAATAATAACCAAAGTTAACATTTTTTGCACTTACGTCTCTGGAAGATTTCTTGTTCTTCTTCTTTTTCTTCTTCTTGGAAACCCTGTCTATGCTATCAAGGCTCACACTCGAACTAACTGATATCTATAAAGACAAGAATATAATAAAAATGTAGCTAATGCCTATATTCATGTGCTTACCGATCTGGATCGTGATTTTCTTTTGCGTGGTCTCTCAATCTCGGCAGGATCGTTTTCAATATCCTTTAACAGAAAACAAATATTAATTATATTTTCTGGAAATAATTTTATTTTTACTTACAGATCTAGAACTGGATCTTAAACGTTTTTTGTGTTTCTTATTCTTTTTAGATTTCTTCGACCGCGAATGATGGTGTGTGCATGCATCTTCACTTTCTCTAACAAAGTCGTCCCAAATCTTTCGTACTCCCAGCTCTTTTTCATAAATAGCATAGGCTTCTAAATGCTCCACAAGCTTTTGCGCAGAATCGAATGGTTCATGTGGCGATACGTTTGCTTCCAACCATGCAGCCTTGATTTCATTCTCCAATTTTCGCAGACGCTTGGTTTCTTCTTTCAAACGTTCTTTTTCCAATGCCTCGGCCTTTTCAAGCAATGAGTTGTATGTTAGTTTAACATTGCCCGCGTCTAAAGTAGCCGACCTTTTATCTTCACACACAACAGTAGCAAAGTCCTCGAATGTAGTATGGGCCTTAACAACGAACTGTTTCTCTTTAAGTATTTCCTTGATGATTTTCTTTTCATCGTGATACCTTGCTTTCAAGTCTTCTACATAAAATTTAAATAGATCTAATGGCGTTGAGCCTGGTTGACCTAACATTGCAGAAAATCGAATGTCAGCGGAAATTATTGGGTAAAGTTCCACCCATAACGACATTGAAGTAAGCTTCCCTTCCTCGTGTAGGGAATCTAGGAGTGTTAGGAAGTTGTCTCTGTTCTTGCGTTGCTGCCTCTTTTGTCTCTTCTTTTCCCTTTCTTTGTCCTCATCCTCTTCACGTTCAAGTGTGCGTATGTGTTCCTCAAAAACTATGAGAGCATCCTCTTTGTCCATACCTAGTAGATTTACGTCATTCTTAAAAGCAGAGTTCTCCAGAAGCATTACTTGGGCTTCGGCCCATGTGGTTGAATATGTTATAGAGGCCATAGATTCCAGAAGCTCTCCCAGCACTTTCATGTTTCTCTTTTTCATCATCCGAGCCTCCTCCTTTTCACGTTTTGCCAAATTAAAAATGCAATCCTCATAAATATCCCTTCGATCTGGCTCTGGTACTGATGTCCAAATTCTATTGCTGGCGAACAACTCTTCACACTTATAGTATCTTAATGTTGAGTTCATTTTATCACTGGTCATGAGAAACTTTTCCAAATCCTCTTTGGCCTTCTTAGCTTTAAGTCTTGCCTCCTCTTTCTCATCTTTTAGTTTTTGAGTTTTGTAGGCATTGAATGTCTGTTTCTTTTCATTTAGATTTTTAAAAGAGTTATAGCGGGGATCCTTTGAAAGAATTTTGACACATTGATCCCAGTTGGCGTTGGAGGGAACATTCTTCTCTTTTAAGAGCTCCTTAAATGCTTCAATGGCTTCTTTCTTGTCTTTAAACACAATTTTATTATCATCTGATGATTCTTTCTTATCTGGAAGTAGAAATAAAGTCATACGTTAGGAAAAGTCATCTTCATTAAACACCAAATTCTAAAAACTTACTTTCTTTATCCTCTTTGTTGGAGGTTGGAATTTCAATGGCAGCCAAAGTTGCCGCCATAGCTTGGTCCAAAGCAGAAGAGGAATTCTCATTACTACCTGGGGTTAAGGGCGAATGAATATCGGGTGTATGAATCTTTGCTACGGTTGGTAGGGTGGCAGGCAATATACTAGCTAGTGCTGCGGGTGGGACAATTCCAGCCAAGCTGGAAGAAGTCATAGCAGCAACCGCTTTTGCTGCTGCAGCAGCTCTGAAATAAATATGTACATAACAAATTCGTTCACGCCAAATAAATAAACGAAAAATCTTACTCTTCAGCTTTTACTTTTGCCTGCATATCTAAAAATTCTGGCGGCGGATCCCATCTAGATTCTTTGGTGGTTACATTGTGATAGTAGACTTTCCCTGCATCCGAGCGATACTCCTTCCATGGACACTGATGCTTCAAGCGTTCTGCCGGTGTCATTAAAACCTCTGGCTTCTCCCAGGAACTTTGCTTGGTAATGTTGTTGTAGTAATAGGGTCTGCCATCGGGAGCCTTGTGTTCTGTCCATTCAGTATTTGGCGGGGCTGAACCAAATGCAGCAGCTAATTCAGCTGGTGGAGGAGCTCCAAATCCAGGTGGAGGTATATTGAACTGAGGAACTACAGGTGGAAATGCCATACCGCCCAAAGCAGGAGGAGCACCAGCTGCTGGTGGTAAATTCATTTTAATACGTTTCTCCCAAGCTACCGATGTTGACAGTTCTCAGTTGTCTTCTTTTCTCTCTCACTTTTCACCGTCTGATATAGCTTTTTTCAGCATAACCTCAAACTGTCAATTGCAGCGTCGTCTTTCCCGACACTTTTAACTATAGGCTTTCAGCGAACTTTGTGTTTTCCAATGTTTTCTTTAACTTGATATAGTTTTTTGAACAACAATATAATTATTTACAAACTGTACATTTTTTTATTGGACAAAAAACAATCGGAAACCATTTACGATACGCCGGAATCAGACAACGAAGCAGAACAATTTCCTCGACGGCGGCGGTGTGTCATGTGTCAAATAAATGACGCCGTCACGCTGTGTTTTCAGTGTCTCATTAACAAGCTAATGCAAGGCATACACGTTATGCAAGTACAACTGCTGGTACAATGAACTGGCAAACCAATTTTGAAATTGAAAGTTTTAAATGAAATAATATTCAACTTTGTAAAAATTGTTTAAAAAAGGAATATTATAGCTTCCGTTTGACATCGTATGGAAATAGATATACAAATATACTTAGTTTAGAAAGAAACCTTAAAAATTTCTTGACATATGTATCAATGTTCGCAAGTATTGATGAATCTACCTGTATTCTTTTACCGTAAAACTTGGGAGAGGTTGTATTCAAATCAGTATTGTTTGTGGGCTTGTTGTACGAAGATGTGTCTAGGATGTACAAAATTTTAAAAATTCTGATTTTCTGCTCGTTGTACCAGTCGATAGCAACGTTCGCAAAAACCACACGGATAATCCTTTGTACGCACATTAAAATTATAGAAATAAAATCACACGCAATTGCCAATTATAAAGGACACATTTAGTTCCGATGTCATCATAATTTAAAATGAATGAAGTTGTTCCAACTGTTGCATTATACAAGCATACAATAATACAATACCCTCAGCACACAGAGCCAACCTTTGTCGAAGAATAAAAGTAGGTGCATCAAAGCTAAAATTTTTCAAACTTTTTGTAAAAAATAAGTAGATTATTATATGTTTTTTTAAACCAAGCCAATCGAAGGGTTATTATGATATGCATGTTTCAAAATTTTTTAAAAATTTCAATAATTTTTCTTTGAAAAATTTTAATTACAAAATTGGTTCGACGGTTCATTGTCCAAGCAGCTGGATCGATGCAACTACCTTTATTCTTCTACCATGGAGACAACACACCGAACGCTGAATGTATAGAAAGTGAAGAAGGAATAGAAACAACGAGTGTCAAATGTATGTGTTCAGTGAATGAACGAAGGGACTAGTATCAAAGAAGCACCCGTTTACACAGTGCTAACAGTTTATCTTTTCCAAAATTTTCCTTTGCAAAAAATTGTAGATTCTTGCATGTTCTAAACAGAGCAAATATGAATATTTTTTTTCAAAACTATACATTTGACAACATATTACTGTCAATATGTTAATTTATAAATTCATTGGATGTTTGACAAATCAGAGATGGGTCCTTTTTTCAATGAAATATAAATTTAACAAGTTAAATTACAGAAAAATACAGAGCTGAATATTATTCTTTCATATGAAGATACCTTGACTTAATTGTACCATGGTATTACTTTTTATTCAGTTTTATGACAGTTTCTCAGAAATCAAAGACTTCTAAATTCATACCACGTCTATGACCAACATTAAAACAAACCACGACGGTGTATATTACATAATCAACATAATGTATCGTGAGTATTACCGCTGAGTAAAGGGTGCAAAAATACCGGGATCTTCACTACCGACGTCATTTTCAAAACTGCAGGATTCACATTCAATTTTGTGGCTTTCGTCGTAATTCTTACAACGGCTCTTTCATTTGATTTTCAAACACTTTCGATTTATTAAACTTTGAATTGTA